GAGGAGGAGGGTGTTTATCCAGAGGAGGAGGAGGAGGAGGAGGAGGAGGAGGGTGTTTATCCAGAGGAGGAGGAGGAGGAGGAGGAGGGTGTTTATCCAGAGGAGGAGAGGAGGAGGAGGAGGGTGTTTATGCAGAGGAGGAGGAGGAGGAGGAGGAGGAGGGTGTTTATCCAGAGGAGGAGGAGGAGGGTGTTTATCCAGAGGAGGAGGAGGAGGAGGAGGAGGAGGAGGGTGTTTATCCAGAGGAGGAGGAGGAGGAGGAGGAGGAGGAGGAGGAGGGTGTTTATCCAGAGGAGGAGGAGGAGGAGGAGAAGGAGGGTGTTTATCCAGAGGAGGAGGAGGAGGATTAGGAGGGTGTTTATCCAGAGGAGGAGGAGGAGGAGGAGGGTGTTTATCCAGAGGAGGAGGAGGAGGAGGGTGTTTATCCAGAGGAGGAGAGGAGGAGGAGGAGGAGGAGGGTGTTTATCCAGAGGAGGAGGAGGAGGAGGAGGAGGAGGAGGGTGTTTATCCAGAGGAGGAGGAGGAGGAGGAGGAGGGTGTTTATGCAGAGGAGGAGGAGGAGGAGGAGGAGGAGGAGGGTGTTTATCCAGAGGAGGAGGAGGGTGTTTATCCAGAGGAGGAGGAGGAGGAGGAGGAGGAGGAGGAGGAGGGTGTTTATCCAGAGGAGGAGGAGGAGGAGGAGGGTGTTTATCCAGAGGAGGAGGATGAGGAGGAGGAGGAGGAGGGTGTTTATCCAGACGAGGAGGAGGAGGAGGAGGGTGTTTATCCAGAGGAGGAAGAAGAGAAGGCGAGTCTTGAGTTGACCTGTGCACCTGCTTCTGATGTCTCTGTAGATTATCTTTCGCGTAAAACTCTTGTCTCAGTCTGGACAGGTGGTAACCTCCATAGTGATCAAATACAAGTGCGCGATGAGAGGGTCTGAAGCATTCTTTTATTTCCTTCAGCCATGCGACGCTTCAAGGCAGGTCGGATTCGTTTCACAACAGCCTTTACTTTCGACACGGGTTGCATTTTCAGTATAGTCATTTTCGCTTTCTTGGTTGTCATCTTTTTTTTTCTTAGATGCAACCAGTCTCTTCGGCGACCCCTTTGATGCCATTGATTTTCTCCGACATGTTTTTCTCGACTTGGTCTTGCTATGCTTTGTGAAAATGACTGTAGGTCCAAATATATCCTCTGAAACGCTCTTCATTTTGAAAACGGACGTCTTATCTGTCAGCAAGGTTAGAGTGAAAATGTCAGTCACTCAACACGACCGTTGAGTTTTATAACACATATTGACATAGATCACACTCTTATTCCTGGGCTGATAATCTCAGCAGACGCAGCCCCCCGAATGAGCATGGAGAAAAGGTGCAAAAAGGCGGCAAAATTCAGTCGCAATAACATTCCATTTCGCGTGCGATGTCAAGTTTCCATATGAGGACATATGAGGATATTCATTACTATCCATTGTTCTTTGATAATGGAAGTAAATTGCATCTGGTCAGATGACCCTGTATTCATCTAATTAACCTGATACATCACTTATACATTTACACATTAATGAGTTATCTTGCATATTAATGAGGGATTGGTGACCTAAGTTTCCATATAAGGATATTCATTACTATCCATTGTTCTTTGTTAATGAATGCTCAAGTAATCTTATCTCTTAGAAGTTATCTACTAAACTACGTTATTTCACTCTATTTTTTCTCATGAAAATGATTCTGGGTATAGGTTAAACGAGTATTTTTTCCATTGAAATAGGAAACTGAACCGACATTTTGAACTCAAACATCTTTTAGAAAAAAGAATAGAATTTTACAGTATTAAAACGTCATATACCAGACTGGCATACATTACAGTCTTCAACACACGGGTTTCACGATACCGACTCTATATTTCTCCGAGCTGACCTCTAGCTAGGAGTCAACACTGTTAACCCTTATTTTTTTATAAAGTTGTCATGGCAACTGTTTGTTAAAAGGAACTTATAATAGGTAACACTAGAAGAGTTAAGAACTGGACATGTGGTTTCTATGGAAATTCAACTCACACCCCTCTTTGCCACATGTGACAGTCATTACTACGCGAAATACATGCGTCAATGGCATATGTCTAACAATGACATTCCTTTCCCCGTGAATCACATTTGAACCTCGTAGTAGCCACTTCCAAATAGGGACACTCATTACTACGCTGTGTTCTCACTTAGTGAAAGGACTCATTAACACACTGCATTCGTGCATTGGAACAACAGACCTCTCATTAGCCTTTCTGACCTGTGACGTCATGATTATATTTGACTATAAATGACTTAATGCACTTGCGGATCAACTTAGTCTCATATCGCTTTGTGGAATGGGACCACATAGAACTGACTTGTAGGTCAGGCGCGAGATTCAAACCGAGGACACGTGACACCCATGAGCGTTCATGGCAACGTCCGCCATCTTGTTTTTTAGACACATGTTGTTCTACGTTTAACGAATGGTCAAGTAATTAATTGCATGATTGCATCCCGTCAGTTGACCCTTAATGAATGTAATTGAATATCGGGAGATCTTTCTACATGAACCTGTTCCTGGGCTTTTTAATATTACCACTCATAGCCCGCTACCGAATGCCCACAGAGAAATTTCTTCAACGCAAAAGGTTCAAATGTTTACCACATGTTCTCGCGCCAAAATGGTCTCACAATGACATTCCATTCCACGTGAGTCAAGACCCAACCCAACCCCCGGTCGTAGTATCATGTCCATATAGGGACATTCATTACTATCCCGTGTTCTACGGTTAACAAATGGTCAAGTCATTCATTGCATGATTGCATCTGATCAGTTGACCCTTTATTAACCTAAATGACCTGTGACGTCATGCATACATTTGCATATTAATGAGTTATTCTGCATATTAATGAGGCAATGACGTTGACAACACCCCCCTCCCTCAAGGTCAAGGTTATGTGACGTCATCAGTCACGTGGGGTTACTAGGTGCACTTGTGACGTCATCAAATGAGGGGGTGAGGGGGGATAGTTATCAAATGTTATCTACTACGTTGACAATTACAAGTCGGCTTCCTTTAAACACTATAGCTATGTGCCAGCATACTGTGTGTAGAGAGCCTGTTGACACAAGTCGAAAGTCACACCAGAAACCTAAGATTGTGGGTTCGAACCCCGTTTGCCCCCGATTATGTTTCTAGGTTTGGCAACACCATATCCCTGCTCATTGGTTTCACCTAAGTTGTAACACCTAAGACCAGGATGCTTAGGGCTTTCCTCCCACATCAAGCTGATATTCATGATTTAACTGGAATACTGTTTGGGGAAGGCCCCAAAACATTTGCATTGACATTTGTTATTTAAACATCAAGACTGTCACGTAATTCTTTTGTATGAACAACATTTGATGTGCTTTGATTTTTGTTGTCCTTTGCCACATGCTTCCAGATATAGACTTTCACGTTATTTTGTCACTGTCAAATATATCCCTTGAGCAACTATAGTACTGAATATAGTTGCGTTCATTTCGCACATTAGGTCAATGTTACCCAGCTCACAATCACTGACAACAACGAAGGAATTTGGGTCAGAGCATATCATTGTATTAGTAAGATATGGCTGACAAAGCTTGTATTGTTGTCAAGTTTATAACTTGGTATGGCGCAACGGATTTAACATACAACTCATTGACTATAATAGACATAGTTTAATTAAAGTACCTATTTATCTACTTTGTTCTCTCTATTAGTCAACACTGGTCTAGATGACATGAAACCCTTTTGTAATAACTATTGATCAACAGAATGGTTAACAGGATCAACAATTACTTTCAATAAACATGAGAACCATAAATCTTATCATTAAAATATATCATCCATTATTTACAGTACAAGAATAGTAACTATACTTCAAGCAGCATATACTTGGAAATGATTTTAACAGAATTCCTACTTGAATAATCAAGTGTTTTACATGGAAATATACTACAGAATAATACTACAAAATGAACTATGATCAATTATGTATTTTATAAATGGATTTTAAGTGAGGAGCATAACATTAAAACATTACTGTAAAATTGAAGCGCCCTGCAAATCACTATTTAAACAAGACAATCAGAGTTGTCTCCCATAACCTTGGGACATTCCATTACAATGCCTGTGGAGAGTTGAATTGATATATCTAATGATAGAGAGGGGATAACCACCTCAGTAACCCACGAACAGCGATGTTTGCATCTTACACTAACTTAGAATATATTGCCTAACAGAAGGTAAACACAGGTTAGGCAACGAATATCCTTCTGCGTGTATGGAGCCCTAAACTAGTGTATTTACCATGACCAACCTTCTCTGCCATGCGATCTGACAACACCGACATACCGGGCGGGTAGCGCAAGCTTGAAATAAGCAGATTACTCAATCTAACCATTTACCAGTGTTTCCAAATTCGTTTTTTTATCAAATCTAGGTTACCTTATGTACATTATTACTTATATTGCGGCCTTATGTCGACCATCAATTGTAATACAAACCTGGAAACAACAAAGGAAATAGGGTCAGTATCTTTGTATTCGTAAGAACATGGCTGTCAGAGCTACGTCAGCCAACGAGGTATACGCATTTGGTCATGAGGTGACGCTAAGTTGCGAGAACCTTGAAGAATGACATAGTTGTTTCCCTAAGCCCAGTGCTGAGACAAATGATACACGCTTAAAGAATTACTCTCAACAAGATTGCCAGCAATGAGACACCAGTATTAGTTTGAATGTGGGGTGGGGCCTTGAGCACATACATTTCCAACAGAGATAAAGTACTATATACAACCCCTGTCTGTTATTTACAGTAAACTGTATATGAATTGGTCAATACAAGCTTATGTTAATTTGATATCAGACCCTGTTTTTGTTCCACAATAAGAAATACGTTTTCAGTTCACGTGGAAAACGTATTTTAGGCTTTGCGGATAATGTACTGAATCATTATTGTAGTATTTTTTCTGTCTGCAGGCTTTGGTCTTAATGTATACTCAGATGGTAACATTAGGGAGGGGACGGGAGACGCATACATCAGCCTGTCTGTTCAAAATGGCACCGAGGTTAACGTCACAATCAACACCGTGGACATGACTGCCACGGCAGGGGAAGACTATGAGGCCATCACCGACAGACGTGTCACATTTTCTGCAGACCTACCTGATTACAAGTTGACGGTGCACATTATAAATGACACGGTGAGACAACCACGATATATTCGTAACACAATAAATCAGGAAGATCGGAATAGGCACATGAATGGCTCGCTCTTATATGTTTTTTTCCACAGTGTTTGGAAAGATAATCTGCTTCATCCCACTTCTACCTTATAAATCACCGGAAACCTATTACTAAACATTAATAATCTTCCCTACAAATCATTAGGTTTACTACAGCTAGAGTCATAAGCGAACACGCTGAAATTGAGAATGTCTTGGTACTAGTGAAGATCAATTTGAATTAATACAGCGACAATGACCGTCCACCACCCATCTGTCCAGTTAACAGTATTATAGACATATTATTACCTTGTTTGGCGTAATCACTTTCTTAACCCCACGACATGAAGAAAACTGTGTGTGCCTGTATTTGAAAACGGAAGTGTAGAGATTTGTCCATTCAGTCCGCCGTCCCATCTTGTACCCGGAGGCAGCTGTACACATATAGGCAACTACAAGACTTTCATTTGAAACCGGCTGAAAATAAACGGACAATAATAAACTGTAAAACGATTTAAAGTAATACATTTTGAGCACTTCTAAACATGGAAACCAGTACTGTTGTAAGAAGTCGTGATAACAATGTATGTAAGTAAAGGCGACATGTTTAAATACAAATGAGCAATACATAGCATTGGGAATCAAATCATGCATTAAAGATGTGTTTCAATACCCTGGTTCATGTCAAAACATCTGCAGGCACAATTCATCACAGGCAATAGCTGTTCATCCTTTTGACGGTGACTTCGTACGTTGTATCGGACTTTGGAGTCACGTGGGCTCCCTACAACCCACTATCCTCATGCTACAGTATTATACGCTCGTACCAATGACAATATGATCACTTCACGTTCACATAACACACGTTTCATCAAATATCATAACCTGACGTATTAACCTAACTGATTCTTCAGCTGATGGAACCTTCAGAGACTTTCCTCGTCACAGTCAACGGAAGCAGCCTCAGCAAGAACCTGACAATAACTGTGAACATAGAAGATGATGACCGTAAGTACACCCAGAGGGAGGGAGTGAGTATGGTTTTACGCCGATTTTAGCAATAGTCCAGCAATAATAGGGCGGGGAACACCAGAAATGGGCTTCACACATTGTACTTATGTTGAGAAACGAAACAAGGCTTTCCGTGCAACGAGCGAACTCTTCAACCCCATCGCCCCAGGGACACAGACAACTCCTAGAACATGACTAAGTTAACTCAGGGGAATATGATAGTAAGTATACGCGGAAAACTCCTAGAACGTGACTACGTTAATTCAGTGAAAAATGATTGTAAGTACACCCAGACAGCGAGACTGTGAATACGTTATCACAGGGGAATTTGACCGTTAGTACACCCAGACAGCAGGAACGTGACTACGTTAACACAGGGGAATATGACAGTAAGTACACCCAGACAGCAAGAACGTGACTACGTTAACACAGGGGAATATGACAGTAAGTACACCCAGACCGCAGGAACGTGACTACGTTAACACAGGGGAATATGACTGTAAGTACACCCAGACACCGAGAACGTGACTACCTTAACACATGGTAATATGACAGTAAGTACAACCAGACAACAAGAACGTGACTATGTTAACACAGGGGGATATGACAGTTAGTACACCGAGACAGCAGGAACGTGACTACGTTAACACAGGGTAATATGACAGTTAGTACACCGAGACAGCGTGAACGTGACTACGTTAACATAAGGGAATATGGCTGTAAGTACACCCAGACAGCGAGAACGTGAGTACGTTAACACAGGGGATCATGATAGTAAGTACACCCAGACAGCAAGAACATGACTACATTAACATAGGGAAATATGACTGTTAGTACTCCCAGACAGCGAGAACGTGACTTCGTTAACATAAGGGAATATGGCTGTAAGTACACCCAGAGAGCGAGAACGTGACTACCTTAACACAGGGGAATATGACTGTAGGTACACCCACACAGCGAGAACGTGACTACTTTAACACTGGGGAATATGACTGTAAGTACTCCCAGACAGCGAGAACGTGAGTACATTAACACATGGGAATATGACAGTAAGTACACCCAGACAGCGAGAACGTGACTACCTTAACACAGGGGAAAATGACTGTAAGTACACCAGAAAGCAGGAACGTGACTATGTTAACACAGGGGAATATGACTGTAAGTACTCCCAGACAGCGAGAACGTGACTACGTTAACACAGGGAAATATGACAGTAAGTACACCCAGACAGCAGGAACGTGACTTCGTTAACACAGGGGAATATGACAGTAAGTACACTCAGACAGCAATAACTTGACTACGTTAACACAAGGGAATAGGACAGTAAGTACACCAAGACAGCAGGAACGTGACTTCGTTAACACAGGGGAATATGACAGTAGGTACACTCAGACAGCAAGAACGTGACTACGTTAACACAGGGGAATATGACAGTAAGAACACCCAGACAGCAAGAACGTGACTACGTTAACACATTGGAATATGACAGTTAGTACACCCAGACAGCAAGAACGTGACTATGTTAACACAGGGGAACATGACAGTAAGTACACCCAGACAGCGAGACTCTGAATACGTTAAAACAGGGGAATGTCACAGCTAGTACACACAGACAGCGAGAACGTGACTACGTTAACACATGGGAATATGACTGTTAGTACACCAAGACAGCAGGAACGTGACTATGTTAACACAGGGGAATATGACTGTAAGTACAGCCAGACAGCGAGACTGTGAATACGTTAAAACAGGGGAATGTCACAGCTAGTACACCCAGACAGCGAGAACGTGACTACATTAACACAGGGGAATATGACTGTAAGTACTCCCAGACAGCGAGAACGTGACTACCTTAACACAGGGGAATATGACAGTAAGTACACCCAGACAGCGAGACTGTGAATACGTTAAAACAGGGGATTGCACAGCTAGTACACCCAGACAGCGAGAACGTGACTACATGAACACAGGGGAATATGACTGTTAGTACACCCAGACAGCAGGAACGTGACTATGTTAACAGAGGGGAATATGAATGTAAGTACACCCAGAGAGCGAGAACGTGACTACGTTAACACATGGGAATATGACAGTTAGTACACCCAGACAGCAAGAACGTGACTATGTTAACACAGGGGAATATGACAGTAAGTACACCCAGACAGCAAGAACGTGACTACGTTAACACAGGGGAACATGACAGTTAATACACCCAGACAGCGAGAACCTGACTGCGTTAACACAGGGGAATATGACAGTAAGTAAAACCAGACAGCAAGAACGTAACTACGTTAACAAAGGGGAATATGACAGTTACTACACCCAGACTTCAGGAACGTGACTACGTGAACACAGGGGAATATGACAGTAGGTACACCCAGACAGCAAGAACGTGACAACATTAACACAGGGTAATGTGACTGTACATACACCGAGACAGCGAGAACGTGACTATGTTAACATAAGAGAATATGAATGTAAGTACACCCAGACAGCGAGAACGTGACTACGTTAACACAGGGGTTCATGATAGTAAGTACACGCAGACAGCAAGAACGTGACTACATCAGCATAGGGAAATATGACTGTTAGTACTCCCAGACAGCGAGAACGTGACTACGTTAAAACAGGGGAATATGACTGTAAGTACTCCCAGACAGCGAGACTGTGACTACGTTAAAACAGGGGAATATGACTGTAAGTACTCCCAGCCAGCGAGAACGTGACTACATTACCACAGGGGAATATGACTGTAAGTACTCCCAGACAGGGAGAACGTGACTACGTTAAAACAGGGGAATATGACTGTAAGTACTCCCAGACAGCGAGACTGTGACTACGTTAAAACAGGGGAATATGACTGTAAGTACTCCCAGACAGCGAGAACGTGACTACATTACCACAGGGGAATATGACTGTAAGTACTCCCAGACAGCGAGAACGTGACTACGTTAAAACAGGGGAATATGACTGTAAGTACTCCCAGACAGCGAGACTGTGACTACGTTAAAACAGGGGAATATGACTGTAAGTACACCCAGACAGCGAGACTGTGACTACGTTAAAACAGGGGAATATGACTGTAAGTACTCCCAGCCAGCGAGAACGTGACTACATTACCACAGGGGAATATGACTGTAAGTACTCCCAGACAGGGAGAACGTGACTACGTTAACACAGGGGAATATGACTGTAAGTACTCCCAGACAGCGAGACTGTGACTACGTTAAAACAGGGGAATATGACTGTAAGTACTCCCAGACAGCGAGAACGTGACTACATTACCACAGGGGAATATGACTGTAAGTACTCCCAGACAGCGAGAACGTGACTACGTTAAAACAGGGGAATATGACTGTAAGTACTCCCAGACAGCGAGACTGTGACTACGTTAAAACAGGGGAATATGACTGTAAGTACACCCAGACAGCGAGACTGTGACTACGTTAAAACAGGGGAATATGACTGTAAGTACTCCCAGACAGCGAGAACGTGACTACATTACCACAGGGGAATATGACTGTTAGTACACCCAGACAGCAGGAACGTGACTACGTTAACACAGGGGAATATGACTGTAAGTACACCCAGACAGCAGGAACGTGACTACGTTAACACAGGGGAATATGACAGTAAGTACACTCAGACAGCAAGAACGTGACTGCGTTAACACAGGGGAATATGACATTTAGTACACCCAGACAGCAGGAACGTGACTACCTTAACACAGGGGAATATGACAGTAAGTACACCCAGACATCAAGAACGTGACTACATTAACATAGTTAAATGTGACTGTTAGTACTCCCAGACAGCAAGCACGTGACTACGTTAACATAAGGGAATATGGCTGTAAGTACACCCAGAGAGCGAGAACGTGACTCCGTTAACACAGGGGAATATGACTGTACATACACCGAGACAGCGAGAACGTGACTATGTTAACATAAGAGAATATGAATGTAAGTACACCCAGACAGCGAGAACGTGACTACGTTAACACAGGGGTTCATGATAGTAAGTACACGCAGACAGCAAGAACGTGACTACATCAGCATAGGGAAATATGACTGTTAGTACTCCCAGACAGCGAGAACGTGACTACGTTAAAACAGGGGAATATGACTGTAAGTACTCCCAGCCAGCGAGAACGTGACTACATTACCACAGGGGAATATGACTGTAAGTACTCCCAGACAGGGAGAACGTGACTACGTTAAAACAGGGGAATATGACTGTAAGTACTCCCAGACAGCGAGACTGTGACTACGTTAAAACAGGGGAATATGACTGTAAGTACTCCCAGACAGCGAGAACGTGACTACATTACCACAGGGGAATATGACTGTAAGTACTCCCAGACAGCGAGAACGTTACTACGTTAAAACAGGGGAATATGACTGTAAGTACTCCCAGACAGCGAGACTGTGACTACGTTAAAACAGGGGAATATGACTGTAAGTACACCCAGACAGCGAGACTGTGACTACGTTAAAACAGGGGAATATGACTGTAAGTACTCCCAGCCAGCGAGAACGTGACTACATTACCACAGGGGAATATGACTGTAAGTACTCCCAGACAGGGAGAACGTGACTACGTTAACACAGGGGAATATGACTGTAAGTACTCCCAGACAGCGAGAACGTGACTACATTACCACAGGGGAATATGACTGTAAGTACTCCCAGACAGCGAGAACGTGACTACGTTAAAACAGGGGAATATGACTGTAAGTACTCCCAGACAGCGAGACTGTGACTACGTTAAAACAGGGGAATATGACTGTAAGTACACCCAGACAGCGAGACTGTGACTACGTTAAAACAGGGGAATATGACAGTAAGTACACCCAGACAGCAGGAACGTGACTACGTTAACACAGGGGAATATGACAGTAAGTACACTCAGACAGCAAGAACGTGACTGCGTTAACACAGGGGAATATGACATTTAGTACACCCAGACAGCAGGAACGTGACTACCTTAACACAGGG